TGAAAAAGATGAAAATTCCTTAGATCTGTCTTTACCATTCAGGCAGAATTATCCTGTTCTGTAGCTATCTGTAAATGTTTGCATTCAGAAAAGTCATCTGTTGTGTGCAGTAGATGATGTAGTCTTTTATAAATGCTTTGTCTTCTCTATAACACCATAGTTGTCTGTATTAATAGAATACTTAATAAAAGATAATCTGCCACTAAAATATTACTAACTTTAGGGCAGACTTTCTGATATAATCTGGTAATTTATTTTGTATTTCACAGAACTCTAATAATTTTAAGTATCCCTACTTAATGGAAACATGAAAGCATCTCTGTATTAGAAAACTGAGGCCTGATCTTCACAAGAACTCCAGTCTGACTACCTGAATGGCAAGATTTTGAGGAGTATTTAGCATTCTGTAGCTTACTGGAACAAATAAAAGATGACCTCAAACTTTTGCTACTCAAGTGAGCATGAGGAATTTCTTGTCACAAAACAAACTTTAAAACTCTGATCACCAGTATAAACCTTTCTAAAAGTTTAAAGCAGAAAAACAAAACCACAAGTACTCATTCAACTGTGATTTGCTTAATTTTCTAATATTTTTTTAAAGATTGGTAAGAGTAGTATGAAAATAATTCCTAATTTTGTTTGTCTAACCCATTCTTGAATATTACTACTAGTGGAGATTGCAGCACCTCCCCAGGCATTCTCTTTTAATGATTCTTTATTAAAATCCTTTAAAACTTGGGATTTTTTTTCCCTAACTTAATGGTTTACTGTTGTAATTTAAGCTCATGGCTTCTTGAATTCTTCATAGCAGACCTTGAGAAAATTTACTTCCTTCACATTTTACATTTTAGAACTCTTACCACAACAGATCTGTTTTGTACAGTCTTTTCAACCCCAACTTACCCAGGAAGAAGTGCACACAGTTTCAGATAAGAAAACATAGCAAGACTAATATATTTAGAAAAAAAAGTAGATCCTATTTTGGACCTACTGTCTTTATATCTATGATCAGATACAGTAAAATGTTTTAACAATGGTCATTTATCATGTTCTTCAAGAGAACCAATAAAATGCAATGAATACACATCCTCTGATGTTGCACAGGTACAAAATGTATAGTTTGTTTACAAACTAATATTACTGAATGCAAAATGAAGCAACATTTTAAAAAAATATATTGGAAAAGGTCCAAAGTTTACATTTTCTAAAATATTAAGATCATGCTTTATTTACAGACCAGCATTTGAACAATTACTGGCATTTTAAGATAACTGCTTAACCTGATGAATACATTAATAAAATTAAGCTGTAAAAAAAAACCCTCAACCAAATAAAAACCCCTCAATAATTGAAGTCCCATATAACAGTTCCAGAAACACTATTTTAAATTTCTATTTAGAAAAGCAAGATGTGATCTACCACACAGTAACTTATCAGAAACTGGCCTAACACTTTGATATGCTATAGGTATCGCAAGTGACCAATGTTATCAACCATGTACCCAAGAGTGTGTTTTTTGCCCATTCCAACTTCAAACGAAGTTTTCACAACAGCTGTAGTATTTACAAATTTAAAATAAAGGGTTTACATACCTTTGGATTACATTGCCACTGTTACTGGGTCTTTTCTTGAGGACCAGAAGTAGCAGACTGCAATCCAAAGACCACTTGTTTTTTTGACTCTGTGAGGTAACTATTGTTATCAGCATGTACCCCAGCTGGTTTTAAAAGACTGGCTAATAGTGAACACTCACCCAGGATCAACTATGACAGAACTTACTCACTGAAGTCTCCCTCTTGATGAGGGGTGGATGTCAAAAGATGGAAGCTTTTAAACTTGAACAAGACCTATGAGCTATATGATCAGCCACAACACAAACCCCAGCTGAGCCCTGCAGGCAGGTATGTGACACCTATGGCTGAAACTTCAGGAGTCTGGCAGTGACACCTGGTCACCTGCTCATGCAGATACTCCTCTACCTTCACTGTGCTAGGTTAGGTGACTGAAAGTTGCATAATAAAAAAACCATCTCAGGCTGCATTAGCTTTTACTGATTTTTACTGGGTTTGAGTAAGGAACATGTCTCCTCCATGCTCCACCCTTTTTCCTTTGCAGCCCAGTCCTACCTCTGGGGCCCTATGTAAAAGTGAACATATAAACAAATGAGGCAGACATTTTCACCCACAGAAGGGACTGGTGAATGCCATGACACTTCTGCTTTGCCAGCCAGAATCCTTGTGAATAATGCAATTTTTTTTTCACAAGAATGCAAGTATTTCATTTCAACTTGCCACCTTTATAAAAACAGGAGGATATCTGAGGGAATGGAATAGGAAGCAATTTCATTTTGATTACCATTCTCCTTTATATTCTGTTGTACCAGCCTAGATTAGGTGAAAAAAGGAGGAATTAAAAAGCTTGGGGACTCAATGTACGCTTCTCAAAAAATTGTAGGTATAACACCTAAGAATCATGAAAACCAAAGCCTTTCTTTCCATGTTTGTGATTTTTGAGATCTTAGCATTTTCCAACATAACTCACTGATTCTCATTGATTGCAATGTTTACATCATATTCAGTATTCCATACTGGATGAAGCAAAGTATCAGCCAGTGATGATCCCTGTTGTAGAGAACTGTGGTAGTCTGTTGTTTCACAGTTCGTTCTTCTGTAGTATGTTTTAATATTCCTTGTTATAAGTTTGTAATGGTTTTGTCTATGTACCCCATTTGGCTTCTTTAATTGTTCAGTCCTGAGTTGTTTACTACAGTTTTCCCCAACAAAATGTATGTCAAGCCACATGTCAATCCATCTGTATAGCTCCCTTGTTCTCTTGTCTCACCCCTGTCTGTCAAAGATAGCACACTGCTTTGGTTCTGGAGAGTTCCCTGTCTCTCATCCCTTCCTCAAAGCAGAATTGGGTTGTAAAG